GGTGGAGTCGACGGACCCACCCATCATGCCAGCAGATCAGCACAGGTATGGCCAGCCGCTGGGCCCCTTCAGCGGGACCCGTGAGCATGGCGAGGACGAAGCTCAACTTTGTATCAGATGGTGTGCATTGTGACCTGTGTGTTTTACTCGACAATGCATCGAGCTCAGATGCGCGTAAAATATGCGTTGAGTGCGACGAGAGGCCAAGTTCTGTAGTCCGTGCGGCCACCGCTGCGACATCGCAGCCGATGTGGAGGTCATCAGTTCTAGAAATGATGGCGAGGAGGCCGACAAGAGAGGACGGTTCTAGGGAGCATGTCCGCGAGGGAGTCATCGGCTCGCAGTGCTGGGCAACGAGCGCGGCATGCTGAGTGCCTTTGGGGTGCCTGGGTGTGCGCGCGACGCATGCCTCCGGACCCAAGGCCACGGATGCCAACTAGGAGGTGAGTGCCACGTGAGACGGCCGTAGTTGCTTGTTTCAGTAGGAAGGATTTATTTCATCTTGTAAAAAACATTTTTTGAAAAAATGAGAACGTGTGCCAAATTTGGATGAGGCCATAAGAATTATTGTCTAGAATACATTGCGATGCGCAAAATGTGGGAATAAATTGACAATATTGTGGAGCACGTCCGGTGGTTGCTTTACACATGACGGCGAGGATTTATTTCATTTTGGAGAAAACATTTTGAAAAAGCGATAACATTAAGTTCTAGGATGATATCGTCGAGGGAGGGGGGGGGGGTGTCGATGAGGACCATGCCAATCGTGCGCTGACACAGATGACGACTTGCCATCGTGAGTTCGTTAGCCATGCACATGAGGCGGAAGGCGTGTGTCCGTATGGCAACGTAAGTCTTGCCGAGCATTCCTGGATAGCTTTTGGCCTTGTGAGTGGTACAGTTGGAAAGTGAGAGTGACATATGAAAAAACGTGGAAATACGCGGACAATATTGCGGTACATGTCCGGTGGTTTCTGAGGCGTTTCTTTTTAACAGCAGCGAAGAAGCTCACAAGGAGCAATGCAATCCCAAGGTAGGGACGGATTTTATGAAGATTATGGAAAATTTGTAAAAAAAATATGAAAGGAACATCTGACCAGAATAACGGTAAACTGGCACGCTCTGTATGAATGGTCATCATCATCATCATCATCAGTGGAAATGTGGACTACAGCGGGCACTGTCGTCAACACCAGTCATAGGATCTGGTCTGATTTTGAGCAACGAGTTTTGAACCAGCAGGACGCTTCGTACCCTGGCTTTCACCTGATGGGTGCGGACATACAGTTCCACCGTGTCAGTGTTCACGAGGCAGTCGTCCCACCGAAGATGGGGGCCCGCCAGAAAGGAGTCAGCCTGAAACTAGGAGGCGACGATCAAGGGACATTAGATTAAAAGCAAAGTGGCACCGTTTGTGGTCTGGGATTCTTCTGTCTTGAAGAGTGTTTGGGGCACGCAGGGGGCAGGGGGAGAAGGGGGGTCTCCGTTTTTAAAAAATGTCAAAAAAGGTGACCGTGGTCCGGTGGCCGGGGCCGCAGCTGGGATGGGGAAGGTTGGGAGCGATTATACGTTTCCAAACTTTGATCAGGTCTCGATAAAATTTTGAAAAATGTGCAAACGTGATAATTGAAGATGCTCTCTGCCCCTTCCAAAATCTATTCGTCGTTTTGGCCCCCAGCACAATGCCGCCTGTTCTGGTATGGCAGTATAGGATGACCCAGAAATGCAAGTAGCCAGACATCCCCCAAACCCGAAACCCTAAGCCCTAAACCCGAAGGCCTAAACCCGAAATCTTAAACCCAAACCCCTAAACCCGCCAATTCCCCTGAAGATTTTGGGGTTGGGCAGTTCGATTTGCTAAGGCCATGCTATGGTTGGCCCTTTACCCGAAGTCCTAAACCTGACACCCGAAACCCCAAAACCCTAACCAGCTGTTTTGTTGCTGCTGATTTGCCTCGCAAGGTATAGCCTGGAGCAACTCTGCAGCGCGCTACAGATGTTTGCCAGCGGTTGCGTCGAAAGCCAGCAAGTCTGCTTCTTCATGTGACTTTCACCGCCGCTTTCCACGTTTCCGATTGCAGCTCGCCGCAAACTACGAGCTGCAGTTTTTCTGAGACGAGGAGAAGCTGACCTCTTTCCAGATCCAGCCGCTGGGCTTCTGGCAAATCGGTGGCTTTAGTGTTCGGGGTTGTTGCCCTAAATGCCAGAACTTTACGAAACTTCTACACATCCAACATCCTGACCCCAAGTTCCTACATGTTAGTTCCTGAAAGCCCTGAACCCCTGCGGCCCTCACGCCCCCTGAGCCCGAATGTTTTGTTGTCTCTATGGGGCACTTGGACTGGCTGACGCGAAGACATTCGTCAGTAAGGGGACAGGTTCAGTGGATTGACGTCAAGAAGGTACTAGGATGGGAGAGGGCCATAAAACACGGTTCGGTCGTCTCTAGACCCGGAAGCTCGATTCCGTAGCAGAACTTCCAACACGAAAACGAAGGGCTCTTGAAAGGCTTTCGGAGTTCACAGTTCAGGGCGTAAGGTTTTTCTTTCCAAAAGCACGGAAAGGGCAGTGCCGCCGTGTCGACGCGGTCAACTCGAGCAGCGTCGCTTGCGAGGCCGGCTGTCGGCTGTCGTGTGTTGAGACTGCTGGGCTTGTGGACGATGCTGACTGATTTGAAAAACAGCCTGCACGTTTTTGGCAAGGCGCAGGGCTCCCTCCGGGACCCTGAGGCAGCAATGCAAGACCACGGAGGACTGGAGGCCGAGGGGTTAGGGTTGCGGGTTTAAGGTTTCGGCTGTAGGGTTTAAGTTTTAAGAGGGACCCGAAGATGACGTATGACTCTTCCGAGCGTACGGAATACAGGGATGTCTGGCCAAGTGGTTGCACGGAAACTTGGTGTGCAAGGTTGTTGAGGGTAGACCCTTTGAGGGCTCCTATCATGGTATGGAGCCTGAACGTTGCAAAAGAATCTTATCGAAAATGCCCTCTGCCCCTCCAAAATCTTTTCGTGGTTTTGGCCCCCAGCGCAATGCCGCCTGTTCTGGTCTGGTAGTATAGGATGACCCAGAAATGCAAGTAGCCAGACATCCCCCAAACCTTAAACCCTAAGCCCAAAACCCTAAGCCCTAAACCCGAAATCTTAAATCCTAAACCCCAAACCCGCTAATTCCCCTCAAGATGTTGGGGTTGGGCAGTTCGATTTTCTGTGGTTGGCCCTTTACCCGAAGTTTTAAACCCGACAGCCCGAAGAAGCTGACGCCAGGTACGCAGACCCGGCAGATGTCATGGGTTTGTGGGTTTTAGACCCCAAGCTGAAACCCAAAACCTTGAACCTTCAGGCTTAGGGACCAAACCCCCAATTTTTTTTATGGCTTCAATTTATTTTCAAGGTCCGCGAATACCGAGCTCCTGAGCCCGAAGATTGAGTCCCGAGCTTGGACTCCCTCGATGTTGTCCTCTTGCGCGGTACGTTCCTGCACTTTTTTTTGTTTTGGCTGAAGCTCCCTCAGGGACTTTCTGTTGCCACAGTCTGTGCAAGAAGGGGACAGGTTCAGTGGATTGATGTCAAGAAGGTTCTAGGATGGGAGAGGGCCATAAAACACGGTTCGGTCGTCTCTACACCCTGAAGCTGGATTCCATAGCAGAACTTCCAAGACGAAAACGAAGGGCTCTTGAAAGGCTTTCGGAGTTCACAGTTCAGGGCGTAAGGTTTTGCTTTCCAAAAGTTCCGACAAGGCAGTGCTGCCGTGTCGAAGCGGTCAACTCGAGCAGCTTCGCTTGCGAGGCCGGCTGTCGGCTGTCGTGTGTTGAGACTGCTGGGCTTGTCTACGATGCTGACTGATTTGAAAAACAGCCTGCGCGTTTTTGGCAAGGCGCAGGGCTCCCTCAGGGACCCTGAGGCAGCAATGCAAGACCACGGAGGACTGGAGGCCGAGGGGTAAGGGTTGCGGGTTTAAGGTTTCGGCTGTAGGGTTTAAGTTGTAAGAGGGACCCGAAGATGACGTATGATTCTTCCGAGCGCACGGAAGACAGGGATCTCTGGGCAAGTGGTTGCACGGAAAGTTGGTGTGCAAGGTTGTTGAGGGTAGACCCTTTGAGGGCTCCTATCATGGCATGGAGCCTGAACGTGGCAAAAGAATCTTACTGAAGATGCCCTCTGCCCCTCCAAAATCTTTTCGTGGTTTTGGCCCCCAGCGCAGTGCCGCCTGTTCTGGTCTGGTAGTATAGGATGACCCAGAAATGCAAGTAGCCAGACATCCCCCAAACCTTAAACCCGAAGGCCAAAACCCTTAGCCCTAAACCCGAAATCTTAAACCCTAAACCCCAAAGCCGCTAATTACCCTGAAGATTTTGGGGTTGGCCAGTTCGATTTTCTGAGGCCATGCTATGGTTGGCCCTTTACCAGAAGTCCTGAACCCGACACCCCGAAGAAGCTGACGCCAGGTACGAAGACCCGGCAGATGTCATGGGTTTGTGGGTTTTAGACCTCAAGCTGAAACCCAAAACCCTAAACCTTCGGGCTTAGGGCCCAAACCCCAAATTTTTTTTATGGCTTCAATTTACTTTCAAGGGCCGCGAATACCGAGCTCCTGAGCCCGAAGATTGAGTCCCGAGCTTGGACTCCCTCTATGTTGTGCTCCTGCGCGGTTTTTTTTTTGTTTTGGATAAAGCTCCCTCAGGGATTTTCTGTTGCAACAGTCCGCACAAGAAGGGAACAGGTTGGGTGGATTGACGTCAAGAAGGTAGTAGGATGGGAGAGGGCCATAAAACACGGTTCGGTCTTTTCTACACCCTGAAGCTCGATTCCATAGCAGAACTTCCAACACGAAAACGAATGGCTCTTGAAAGGCTTTCGGAGTTCACAGTTCAGGGCGTAAGGTGTTGCTTACCAAAAGTTCCGACAAGGCAGTGCTGCCGTGTCGAAGCGGTCAACTCGAGCAGCTTCGCTTGCGAGGCCGGCTGTCGGCTGTCGTGTGTTGAGACTGCTGGGCTTGCGTACGATGCTGACTGATTTGAAAGACGGCCTGCGCGATTTTGGCTCAGTACAGGGCTCCCTCCGGGACCCTGAGGCAACAATGCAAGTCCCGTACGAGATTCATGTGAACTCCAGCGCTGAGCCCGGTGGTTGCCAAGGGCTGATCTTCCGCTGGGCGCAGAATGATTCGAGAGGGAGTCGGTGTCTGCCTTTCTTGCTGCGCTTTGGCGGCGCCGGCCATCCTGCAGTGCGGCTGTACAGCCGTGACGCACAGGGCGTTTACCGGTCTGCGTGCGCCGGCGGCACAGCAGAGGCGCAGCTGCTGCAGGCGCTTTTGCAGCGGCCGGAGATTCTGATGTCAGACTTGCCGGGTCCTGCGCTGCGTACACTCGCTGAAACGCTGCAACACTTCAACGCATACCTGCAAAGGAACGTGCCCTCGAAAGATGGCTTGAGAGCACGAGTTCGCGTCGCCGTTGAACAGACGCAGAGCTTGGAAAATCTGCTGCACTTCCCAGGATGTCTATTGCGCAGACAAGATTTCATGCCGTTGAGGATGCTGGAAGCTCGCCTGGAACAGGATCCGGACTCTACGATCATGCAGTGCATCGGGACCAATGCGGTGTCTTGGCTGGTCGAAGACGCTCAGTTGCCTCCGGTGCAACTCTACGTCCAGGACCCACTCTGCCGGCGCGGCATAAACACTTTTTTTTTGTTCGGGCAGGTTCCTGTACATATTTTGTTTGCATGCTCCTGTGCGTCTGCATTGCTCATCTCTTCTTGTGTCTCTGCAGGACTTCAAGAGTACGAACAATTTCGGTGCCATCCTGTGTCACATGGGGCGAGTACTTCGTGACGTTGCATGTGCATCCGTTCGTGCAGGACCGGTCGTGTCTGGCATGCAATGTGTCGCGGGGACGATTTCGCTGCTGCGAGCGTATCGACCACGGGAAGATCTTCCAGCCAGTTGTTGGAAGGGCCATTTGGTCTGGGTCTGTGAGCGGACGGTATTGCAGGAGCAACTGAGTCCAGCGCAGCGCAGGGCCACTCGCGACGGGTCCTTGAACATGTTCCACGCCATTTGGCGTCATGGCACCTGTCATGAAGTGGTGTCGTCGTCCGTCGACAACAGCAAATTCGAGCTGGCGCCCAGTCTCCCTTGTGGTGAAGACGCTGAGGACGATGCTTGAGACCTTTTTTTTAAATATCTGCTTGGCGGATATTCTAAGTGTCGACGTGCGGTCAGCGCTGTTGCCTGTTGCAGCTGTAAGTTACACAAAGTCCATCGCATCATGCTCTGCCCCAGTCAGGACGGACCCGTGGACAAGCAGTTCGTAATGGTGGTGTTGGCAGACACGCAAGAACACTTTTGGGCGCCTGGGCAGCACAGCATGACGGCCGGTCAGATCATGTGTCTGCGTGGAGAGGCGACTCTGCGTGAAATGTTTCGACCAAGGCACGGAGGGTGCTGTCCAGGCTGTATCACGGTCAAGGGCTGCCGGGCCACGTCTTTCGTGGACTCTTGCATGAGGCTGAAAAACCCGTGTCACGGGGGCCAGACATAACTGTATGTCACTTGAAGTGGCGTAATCCTGAAGCATATTTTTTTCTGGGTGACCGCCTTTTATGGGGCGCTTGCTGCAATGCGAGGCGGAAGTGACGCCGCCGCGCCATTTGCCTCCTGTCCTGGAGGGCATCACCGAGTTCCGGGACTGCACGCGTGGGATCCACCTGTACAACCTCACGGCAGCCCCAGGGACAGGAAAAACGGCCATGTTTCTGCGCATCTTGCCACGGCCTTACGCGCGGAGCGGTGTGTGCTGCTCAAGTTTTGCATGTATCGACCAAAAGAAGTCCTCTCTACTCCTCTGCGTATGTTTGTAACACAGGATAGGTTCAGAAGAATCGTTGAAGAATCTCCGAAACCAAAACAAGAGATTTGTTCGAGTCGTTGGGATTTGTGCAGCTTGGAAAAGCAGTTTGGAACTTCGAGCGAGGGTTGCCTCGAGCAAGCGAAACTAGCGTGATCTCGATGCTTCATCTTTTGTGCTTTTGCTAGCCTGCCAGGGTCAGAACTTGCGGCTCCCCCAGGGACTGCGACGGGGAAACCTGTGACGTGGGATAGGTTCAGAAGAGTCGTTGAAGGAAGAATCTCTGAAACCAAAACAAGAGATTTGTTCGAGTCGTCGGGATTTGTGCAGCTTGGAAAAACAGTTTGGAACTCCGATCCGGGGTTGCCACCAGCAAGCGAAACTAGCGTGATCTCACTGCTGCATCTTTTGTGCTTTTGTGAGCCAGCCGAGGTCGGAACTTGCGGCTCCCTCAGGGACTGCGAACGAGACTACGTCCGTGGAACACGGGGAAACATGTCAGCGCCCGTTGCATGTTTTAGTCACGCCTACGAAAGCTCTGCGTGATGCTGTGATATCCAGAGCCAAGTCCGCCGGCATCCAGGTCTTGCCTCTGGGAATGGGAATCGACGGCACGGACTCGCTGGCGGAACAATTCTTCAGTGTGCTGGAGGAGACGGGCGGCGAAGTGCGAGATCGCATAACGCAACTTGAAGCACGGCTGAAAGCATTGAACTGGCGTCGGCACCCTCTGCACACGTTTTTGGAGCTGTTGTGTGAGCATGTTGCTCTCACCTTCCAGCTCTACCACCAAGATGGCCAAGGAACTGTCGAACAAATGCTGGGCGAGACTTGCGTTGCCGTGGGCACGCACGCTTTCTGGCTTAAGAATATGTCTGGCGTGCGCACGACGGCAAGTCGCTGTCTGCGCGACCGCTCCACTGGCGTGGTCCTCGTGGACGAAGCCGACATGTTGTCGCTGAGCCAGCTCGTGGGCGTGTTGTCTTCTGGCACGGAGATGATCGCTGCATGGGACCCGGGCCAGCAATTGCAGCCGTTGGACATGAGACATCGAGTCGCGCCAGGCGAACGGTGGCATGCCGACAGCGACGCGCGTGAGCCCAGTGCTATTCAGCTGCTCCAAGACCTCGCTGGTTTAAACAAAGCCAGCCACGTCGTTCGACTCCTTGAAACTCGTCGATTCGGGGACGTTGTGTGCCGTTTGCTGTCACAGATCAGCTTGGCCTACAGCGGCCTGCACTCCCACAGGGATGCACCCGACACGACACTCGTGCTTTGGAGGGTTTCTGGCCATGGAGACAGTGGCTTTGAGGCGTTCCGGAACGCTTCCGGGGCTGTAGCAAACGTAACCTTTTTCTGCATGTGCGCGAACTTGGTGAAGCGTTTGAGCAGGAATCATGGCTGCGTCTTGGTGGTGGTGTGGTACGCCGTCCTGCGCCAGGCGTTAAACCATTTTTTGCGCTTCGCTGGTGTCGATCCCGCGCACTTCAGCATCCGCACGGCGCGGCAGGCCAAAGGAGAAGAATGCGCCGCCTGCGTGGTCTTGGCCTGTCGGCGTTTCAGCTGGCCGGACTTTGCTGGATCGCTCAGTGACGCTGGCAAGCTGGCAGTGGCAGTTTCACGCGGCCGCGTGGAAACGCACATCCTTCTGGATGCGGCTTGCCAGTGGGCCAATGTCAGCATGTGGGAGAATATGTGGCGCTTCCCAGCCACGTCTGTCGTTGACTTGACACCTGAGGACGAGAACGAAGAGGAGATCGACCTGTTCCGATTCTGGATGACAGCCACATGGGGCGATGAGTGCAGTTGCAGTGACTCTGAGGAGGCTGCGGACGATGACCAGGCTAGCACATGTGCCAGTTTTTTTGCATCGGCCTCAGCTGTTTCCAGGCATCTTCCCGATCAGCTCCCCGATCGTCAGATTCGCTCCAGCCAACCTCCCATGTATGCTGTGCCAGAGGACACTGACCTTCGAGAGATTTGGCCAAGGTGGCGGGCTTTCCTGGTGCCCTGCATTACCGTCGTTGCTGGCTACAAGGACAAAGAACCGGAAACAAACGCAGATGGCGCGGAAGCCGATGTGGAGGCTTTGCTGTCCTTGAAGTTCCTGGAGTGGCACACAGTGCCAGACCACCAACTCACGGCCCCAGGAGCCCTGCTTTTTCAGGTGAAAGGGCAGCTCCGTGACGAAGCAGCGTTTTGGGAGCTGAGAATTTCACGGCATAAGGCAGAGACCCAGACGGTCGCTGGCGTGAACTTCTTCTCGCAGAGGCGCCTTGCCGGCGTCAGCACTCAGTTAAGCATGAAGTTTTCGTTTTCTTGTCATATACTTCGCGCCAAATGCCAGGTGCCGCTCCTGGCGCCCGGAGTGGCAGCTCTGCAGCGAGGGCAAGGTCCGCGCTTTGGCCTACTGGGGCATGGGCACGCGTGGCCAGCACCCGTGGCTCTGGTCCATGGTGGTTACGGTCAAGTCCTTGGAGCTCGCCCGCGCTGTGTTGCGCGTGGCCGATGTGCCTCTGACGAAGATCCTCGGCTGATTTTTGTCGGACACGTTTCGGTTTGTGCTGCAACAAGTCGTGCCTCAGTGCTCGAAAGGAGCGTTCACCCGTGGTACTCGATGCTGAGGATCGCCGGGGACGTCCCTGCCGAGCTCTTCGACACGACCGAACCCGACGCCGAGTGAGCGTACGATGGTAGATCAGCAAATGCTGATGTCTACTCCAGTTGCCGCAGCAGTCCAGTCCAGTATCCGCAGTACACTGAACGTTTTTATGCGACGTCATTCAAGACATGAATAGCATTAGGTGCAGGAACAACATAGTGTAGAGAGTGCAACACACAAACTCTCGGAGCTGCGCACGAACGCATGCATGCATGGCTCCTGTGGCAAAACAGAGTATGCAAGCCCGTCATTTCTGGCGTGTAAGACTTCGTTTAAGGACCTGGGTTTGTTTCGGGGCGCGGTAAGGCCGGAACTCGAGCCCTGACCCTCCTAACCCCTCGCTCGGGGTGTGCGCAGGTGCCGCAGATGCTTCGGCGCTGCGCGGAGCGCTGGGACTTCCTGTACGTGTGTCTGGGCGTTTAGGCCTTGGGCGTGGGACTGGGGTTGGTGCGTGCCGATCGTGCATGCGCACAGAACCGAGTATACTGGGATTGCACCTCTCCCAAAGTCTTTTTGTTGCTACAATCCGCAAAAGAAAGGGACTGGTTCAGTGGATTTACTTCGACAAGGTTTTGGGATGGGAGAGGGGAGAGGGAGAGAGAGAGAGAGAGAGAGAGAGAGAGAGAGAGAGAGAGAGGGAGAGGGAGAGAGAGAGAGAGAGAGAGAGAGCGCGTCAGGAGAGAGAAAAAACAAAACTCCGACGCCGGAAAGCAGAAGAGCGGTGTGTACTGAAGCCCAGGCGACCTTAAACCCACCCATGTAGCCCCCGACCTCGAACGCTGATGCTAGCCGTGCGCTCACAGCCCGAAGCCACGGAAGGCCGGGAGGATGGCCAGTGGCTGCCGGACAACGCAGCGGGCGTCACCTGGTGGCGACAGATCGGGTTTTCGGGATTCGACTTTGGTGAACTGGGCTTTAGGGTTAGGGACTTTCGGGATTTGGGGTGGCGGGTCATAAGTTATGGTAGGGTTTTAGATGGTTTTAGCCTCAGGAGGTAAGCCCTGCACCCCCAAAGGATGTGAGGCGGCTCCAAAAGGGACCACAGTAGAACAGTGCTACAAGTCTGGCAGCATGAATGCATGACAGTCGACGGGTAACAGTAAAAGCCCAAATGCCAGAAGCGACGACGTAAGACGAGACGTCGACGGCTGCTGTCACCTTGTTGCTTGATTGCCGCGCGCGCTTGGACTTCGCACGTTTGCCCAGTGCCTGCATGATCGTGCGCTAGCCATCTGCGTCTTCAGGTGCTCGGACATGCTGAGGTGGCTCCCAAAGGGACTGCGGTAGAACAGCGCAGGAAGTCAGGCAGCATCAGTACCGGTACTGCAGTAGACCAAAAACAAAACTCTTCACGTAAACCGCTCACATGTGTCAAGCAACCACGCCCGCCGTGACATTCCATTTAGTCGCATGGGACCCGTACTGCCGTCGAAGTCTCGCTGCTCTGTAGAAAAAAACGGTCGCGGGCCATGGCCAGCGCTGGGCAAGCTGCTGTCCTAGGACAGCATGCAAATGAACAGGCGCAGACAGTGCTGGTGATGAACCCATTGACAGGAGACCTTCTGTGTCAAATCCGAGTCGATCAGAACTTGCTCGAAGCACGATCGTTGAGGAAGATTTTGAGAGAGGACGCCAACTTGAGAGGGACGTTCTTTCAGCTTCAGCAGAAGGGGCGCTGCTTGGATCTCGACGCAGTCGTGGATGCGTCCACCGCTGTTTACTTAGTCAAGTGCACGCTTTCCGAGACCAAGTTCGAACAGATCAACGCGCTCGCGTGGCATAACGAGGATGAGGAGCTGGCAGATGCGCTGCTAGAGTGCCCACGAGGTGATCGCAGGTTCGACTATCTCCTCTTTTGTGCGCTTCGTTGGCAGCATACCGGCCGGGCTGAGCATGTCGGTTCTTATGTGAACGTTGTCCGGGTCCTTCTGGAGTCAAATGTTTCCATAGACCAGGTCGACAACAGGACAGGATTCACCGCGCTCATGATGGCATGCAACTACAACTTCCCCGAGTTCGTCCGCCTGTTGCTTGAAGCCGGCGCAGACAGAGAAAGGGTAGCTGGCGATGGCAAGACAACAGCTCGCACGCTGGCAGCGCAGCACAGTGACAGGGCGATCCTGCACCTCCTGGGCAATGCCTGAACTTCTGCTCCAGGCAAATATAGAATGCCGTGTTTCGCCCCGAATCCATAGCAGGCATGTAGAATCACGGGCGCAGGCTAGTGGCCGTCCTCCAGTGCTGCCCTAAACCCTCAACCTTGAACCCTGAGCCCTAAGCAGCTCACGTGTTCCTCGCGGGCCAAAGGTGAGGTGACCTCGGCGCCGTTCAACAAGTTCAGGCAGCTGACCTTTGTGAGTCTTGCGAGGCGATGCTGGGCAGTTCAAGGATGTCCGGGGTTCACGGTTCAGGGGCGGCCTTCGGCGGTTGCTTACATGCTTTGTGCTTGTGCCCCTTTTCAAGTCTGTGTAAAGCTGACCAGCAGCTGGGACGAAGGGGGTAAACTTCCAGGCAAACCTTCCTCCTCACCACGCATGGCTCCTGTGGCAAAACAGAGTATGCAAGCCCGTCATTTCTGGCGCGTAAGACTTTGTTTGAGCAGGGCCTCGAAGTCCTTCTGGGCGCGGTGTCATCATGATGCATGTGGTCGCATCACAACAGAATCACGGCTGGGCACGTATCGGTCGAGTACATTGTCCAGGGCGCTTCTGACGTCTGTTTCGGGGTCCGGTAAGGCCGTAACTCGAAGCCTGACCCCCCAAGCCCTCGCTCGGGGTGTGCGCAGGTGCCGCAGATGATTCGGCGCTGCGCGGGGCGTTGGGACTTCCTGCACGTGTGTCTGGGCGTTTAGGGATTGGGCGTGGGACTGGGGTTTGTGCGTGAGAGTTGAGGTGCCCGGCGGCGGCGCTTTGTCCACGTCCTGAGCTGCAGAGCCGATTGCTATGCGAGAGATCCCCGCCGTAGCACGTCGGTTCGACAGACCGGGTTTGCGGGATTTGACTTCGGCGAACTTGGCTTCGGGGTGGGGGATTTCGGGATTGGGGGTGGCGGGTCATAAGTTTATGGTCCAGCGTTTAGGGTTTTAGATGGTCTTAGCAGGAGGTCAGCCCTGCGCCCGAAATCCAAAGGTGATGTGAGGCGGCTCCCAAAGGGACCGCGGTAGAACAGCAGTACAAGTCTGGCAGCATGAATGCATGACTGTCGACGAGTAACAGCAAAAGCGCAGATGCCACAAGCGACGACTTAAGACGAGACGTCGACGGCTGCTGTCACCTTGTTGCTTGGTTGCTTGTGCTTCTTGACGCATGCACGCGCAGCAGTACCTATCTGGATTTCGCACGTTTGCCCAGTGCTTGCATGATCGTGCGCTAGCCATCTGCGTTTTCAAGTGCTCGGACGTGTTCAGGCGGCTCCCAAAGGGACCGCGGTAGAAAAGCACAGGAAGTCAGGCAGCATGAGTACCGGTACTGCAGTAGCCCAAAATCAAAATTCTTCACATGAACCGCGCATATGTGTCAAGCAAGCACGCCCGCCGTGACATTGCATTGAGTCGCACAGGACCCGAATTCCCGGCCCGAAAACATGACCTCGCAGCTGGACACGCCTGTGACGCTGCAGGCATTCGATGAGTCGCCGTGGCCCGCAGTCTGGGCCGTGGCCGGGCGCCGCATACTGCGCTGTCTGGTGAAGCATCATGTGGTCCTGCTGCCCATGGAGAGCGCAGGGCGTCGCGACTTGCGCGTGGCGCAAATCCTGGAAGGCTTGCGCGAGGTCAACGGCTCGGACTGGTGGCTGCGTTCTTACGAGTTCCTTGAAGAAGAGGGGGGTCTGCTTGCTCGCGCAGTGGAGTGCCATTGCGTTTTGCCGGACGTGCGTACTCTCGATGCACTGTTCCTGGCAGGCGCCTGGCGGAGCGGGCCTGCGTGGGCGCGGGGCTGGTGCTGGCTCCCATGGCCGACACCCATGGATGCCGCTCGCGTTGTGTACAGCAGCGAGACGTACGAGCGCGCTCTGATATACATCGCGGCCCCCTTCTGGCCGGCGTTTCGACAAGTGACGGCGCGACGCACAGCGTTGTCGGCATGTCGTGGGCAGGTGACTTCAACAAGGGCGCCGACGATGCCGTCCTCGGACGCGGGGGCCATGCCAGAGGAGGAGGTAGACCCGGAGCAGATTATGGGTTGGGAAGTGCTCAGCACCGAGTATGCGGAGCAGCCACCGGACAGCGTGCTGGAAGAAGTACCGGATCTGTACCTCCATGACTACTTGGACTTGCGCGAGTTCCAGGAAACCCTGACCGTTCCTTGGGTCCGTCGCCAGGGCATGCCAGAGCGATCCTGCTTCCTTTGACAAGGATCCTTGGAGGTCATCAGAGCCAGGCTACCGTCACCGCAGTTACAGACAGCGCCGACGCTTGTACACTGCTGGGGCGCAGCCTGGCACAGTTTTGTCTTTCAGAACATGTGCATACGTCCTAACATGGCAGTACGAAGGGCTGAGACTTCAGGCCTAGAACTCCAGATCAAATGCCGAAGGTCCCGTCGACAGTCTAGCTGAAGGCCTAAGCAATCAGAACGTGGGCCGAAAACTCTGGTCTGAAGCCATCATGCCCAGGGTCTTGCTTCCTTTGACAAGGATCCTTGGAGATCGTTAGAGCCAGGCAACCGTCCTCGCAGTTACAGACAGCGCCGACGCTGGTACACTGCTTGGACGCAGCCCGGTCCAGTTTGGTTTTTGTTGAGCCGGCAGGGGACTGTGAAGAATGAAAAAGGGGAGCGAGGTTTGCTGGTGCACTTGATTCAGCTTTCCATTCTGACATCCTATCTGCTTTGACAGGGTGATCGCATGGAGCACGATATTGTCGGGCAAAACCCAAGGCATGCTCATGGCAGTTCTTTATCCGAATAGGACGAGCCCTCTTTCCGTTAGCCGCTTTGAGAGGGGGACGTCCTGTCCTCGACGCCGTTGGCTTGCAGAGGCTCCCCCAGGGACCATTGTCGAGTCCTGAAGACTGTTTCGTTCTTGCTTTCTTTCTTTCCCACCACAGAGCCGCTGCTGCTGTCGTCTGGCGCCGTGGTCCGCGCCTCCACGTCGATATAAACCAAACTCTTTAAAGCCAAGCCCCTGCTGGGCTTGGGGAGTTCCCCTCAAACCCCAGCATTTAGGCCCGCGTGTGGGACGACCTGCGCGGACTGGCTCATCGGCCATGAGGCAGGGCACGGGAGAGGCTGAGAGTACTCAGGCTGGGAAGCTTGAAGCAGCACATCCACAAAAGCCCTGAACCCTAAATCCTCAACCCCCTCAGCTCTCAACCCTAAACCCTAAGCCCTAAACCCTATATAACACCTTACACCCCCAAGCCCCTGTAACCTGAAGTTCTTCCAAGCTATAGAAGAGGAACCCCTCGAAACGCCCACAAAATCGTTTATTCATATTTCTGTGGGGATCTTCTAATGTCTCCTTTAAAGGACGATGTGGAAAAGCTCTGTTGCCCATTGAATCTTTCGAGTGCGGAATGGCCCAAGTTAGGGTTGAGTTACGTCTTGAGGCGCACCCCACGTCGGCCCCTGAGCCGGCCGACATCTATCTGCCCCAAATTGGATACCCGAAGCTCTGAAAACCCGAAGAAGCTGACGCCAGGTACGAAGACCCGGCAGATGTCATGGGTTCGTGGGTTTTAGACTCCAAGCTGAAACCCAAAACCCTACCTGGACATTCCGACGATACTAAAATAAGAGTTTTTTTGTGAATAACATGGTTATAGGGGACCGAGAACTGAAGATTCAGTTCGTGAACTCTTTTCTATGATTTCACTTGCAGCGGGTTTTGGGGTTCTTCTGGAGGCTTGAAATTGTGCATAGGTGCTCAAAGGTTTGTGCACGTCAGTGATGCAACGGAATGAGGGTTATACAACAGCCGACATGTCATCACTTTCAGCTTATAAGTACCCCGCTAATATACACACACCAAAGTAACAATAGACGCAGTCTTTGCCTGATCGACTTTTGTGCCTGGCGCGATGACTGCACTGACTGCACAGTGAGATCGCCCCTCTGGCGTGCGCCCTCCAGCTCGTGCATCGGCTTTGCCAGAGCGCTGTGTCGAGCTACTCAACATATGTATACAGTTAGGAAACTTGTAGTCCTGTTCTGCCAGGCCTATAGGATGAAACTAGGCTCACTGCAGCGCATTCGCCAGCCTCGCAGGTACGTACGCACGGTGGATGCAGCTTTGCGTGGGGCTTGTCAAGGCCACTGCGCTACATTTACTTGAGGGGCGAAAGTCGCAGGAGAACTCTTCTGCTACAGTATATATGCTAGCCTTTGCAGTCATGTGTGCTACAACTTTTGCGATGTATGCAGATCATTTTGATCGAGCTTTTGTTTGTGGCCTGTGTGCGCCGCGTGTGTTGTTAGTACGTGTGGGGAGCACGTCGATACACCTCGCAATGCCGGGTTCGGTGGGCGGATCGTCTACACGTAGCGAGTCATCTTTGGGTGATGCGCTGGTGCTGTCAGAGGCTGGTGAGCTAGCCTCGCAGCTGGAGCGCCAGAGGGTTCTTCGCGAGAGGCTGCGCGAGAAGGGGCACTTCACGAGGTGGCCCTCGCTGGCTTGCACAGGAATTCCCTCTGTGAAAGCGATGGGGATGAATTCAAGACTCCTCGAGACGCTTGCAGATTGGTGGTGCCCCATGCACCGGGGACCCACTTGCCTGAGCATCGACCTATGCAGAAGAGAGGCCCCAACATTTGTAGTGGATGTGTTCTTCAAAATTGCTGACTCATGACAGACAACGTGGTAACATGAGCTGTTTCAGGTCAGGCTGCTCTACAAGGACATCGGAGTAGACTTGGTGCCGTCCATGCTGGAGCTTGATGCTTCGGGCATGAAGCGGCTCTTCTCTCACGGAATACGCAGGATGAAGACACGGGCCTACACCAGCGCATCCAGCTTGCATGCTCTCGATGTGCGCGTGTGCTTTCTTAAGTTGGTGTACACGTGTCTAATCTCTACATGGATGAATATCAGGAACCTGGGCTCACGCGATTCTTCGAGATCTTGGAGGAATATTGGGTCTTTGAGAACGAACCGAGCGATGAACCTCGAATGCTGGCACTCATGGATGGTCCGGTGGAGGACGACTACCCCGCTGCAGCAGTGGATGAGCCCAGCATGCCGCTCCTGGATGCTCGCATCGCAGAATACCGGGCCAGTTGTGACATTGACTTGCCCGGGGTCTCGCTGGCGGAGGCCGGCGTGGAAGCCCCGCGTGCGGGAGAGTGCTTGCCAGAGACTTCCGAGGATGAGGCTGAGGATGGAACAGCTGATGTTGAGATGCCCATGGCTTGCGAGAAGGGTCAGACCTCTGCTGAGGCTGAGAGAGCCCCGGAGACCGAGAAGGTCTCAGAGGCCAAGCTTGCGGAGGATGTGGAGACCCAGCCTACGGAGGCAAGGTCCCCGAAGATGATGGCCGAGCATGTGGAGACCAAGCCAGCGCAGGCAATGCCCTCGGAGAAGATAGCCGAGCATGTGGAGACCGAGCCCGCGCAGGCAATCCCTCCGAAGAAGAAGCAGCACAAGTTTGGGCCCAGCTCGATGCCGGGTCTGCTCGAGCTGCAGTTGCTCAAGGACAAGCTGGCCACCAGGAAGGAGATGATCAGGCATAGTGTCGTGTTGGAATGTCGTATAAACGTCGTGTGTGCAGTACACACTCTACATGTTTTGTAAAGAAGCGATGGATGTTTAGGCAGAAGCTTGCGGCGAAGCGAGCTATGGAAGCCTCGCAGGCGAGCGCGGCCTCTGGTAGAGCTCTGGCCCAGATTTGACGAGAACTTACCTATTGAAGTTCTAATTCTAAATGACTGCTATTCCCACGCACACCCTAAACCCTATAAACCCTAAACCGCTATGAACCTTATAAACCCTAAACCCAATTAGCCCACCATCTCAGGTGCGGAGGAGACCCAGTCTTACGATGCAGAGGCGTGCTATGAGGCGGCAAGCGCTGTGCTTAGTGGTGCTTCAGGTGACGGCGCAAAGGACGGCCAGGGTAGCGACGCAGATGAGGATGCGCCCTCTCAGGACGCAAGCGCAGTGTTGAGGGACACTTCGCTTCCTGAGGGCGTGAAGGATGAGACCCCGAAGATAGACAGTGCGCTGCCTGAGAGCGTGAATGACGAGCTCCCGGGGAATGCCGTTGCTCCACGAATGATGTTTTTTGCGGGTTTAGGGTTATAAAGGAGGGTTTAGGGTTTATAGGCTTTATAGGGTTTATAGGGTTTATATGTTTATAAGTTTAGAGTCTATAGGGTTTATAGGGTTTATATATAGGGTATAGAGGGTTTATAGGGTTTATAAGGTTTGTAAATAGGCTTATATGGTTTATATAGGTAGAGAGTTGGGAAGGGTTTTCTAGTGGTGCAAGGCACTTGTGAAGCGCAGTGATCAGCGTCGAGAGTTCGAAGCACGCAAGAAAAATGATGTGGACCAGATGGCCGCACGCAAGGGGCGGCGCAACCAGCAAGAAGATGGCAACCAGGAGTGTGCAGAAACGCCACCGCCACGTGGCCGAGGTGGGCGAGGCCGTGGCAGGGGCCGTGGCCGAGGACGCGGCCGAAAGCATGGCGGTTCGGAGAGTGACGACGGCGAGACTGTGCACTACAGCGAGCCCGAGCAGACCGAGAATGACGGGAAGGACGAGGCCAGACCCAGCAAGCCCGAGCCGATGCAGAATGATGAGAAGAAGGCGCCCGCGCCCGAGCCAAAGGCGAAGGCGAAGGCGAAGGCGAAGGCAAAGGGGAAGGACAAGTCGGACAAGGCTAAGTCTACGGGCAAGGCTGCGTGCGAGACGAAGAAGCCAAAGGGCAAGGCCGAGGCTGAGGAGACGAAGAAGACCACGGAGCCGGCTTCCGCTGCAAAGGCACAGCCAGGAAAGGGACAGACCAAGCGCAAGTCAGCAAATGGTCCAAACAACGAGCGCAAGCAAGAGATGGCCCCGAAGCAGAGGAAGGCTGAGCAGAAGGAGGAGGGCCATGTCGACAAGGCGCGACGGGTGTCGGAGGGAAGTGATGCTTCCTCGGAGAGGAAGACGTTTGCCGGCCGAAGACGGCCCTCATCGGACGAGGACGCGCTGGCTCGCTACATCGTGCTTCGCGACACCTTTCAGGACCTACTGGCCTCCCGCTTCACCAACCCGAGTTCCTGGGAGGCTGTGTTTTCGTGCCCGAGTGTGTGCGTGTGAGTGTGAGTGTGAGTGTGAGTGTGAGTGTGAGTGTGAGTGTGAGTGTGTGTGTGTGTGTGCGCGTATGGGTTTAGGGTTTATATAGGGCTTAGGGTTTTATATGGTTGAGGGTTGCTAGGGTTTAGGATAGGGTTTAGAGGGTTTATAAAGTTTATAGGGTTTATAGGGTTTATAAGAGGGTTAATAGGGTTTATAGGGTTTAGTTTAGGTCTATAGGGTTTATATAGTTTGGGGGTTTATAGGGGTTTAGGGTTTATGGGAGGGTTTCTGCTTGCAGGGCGACTGGTGGAGTTTCGCCTTCAGCCATCTTGCTGCCCGGGGCGTTGATCCAGAGTCCTACCAGGACATCGCACGCAGGCGAGCTGCGAAGTACCTCAAGCAGCACCGTAACTTGACCGTGCTTTGGTAGGGTTGTGCACAGTTCAGACCATCCAATCCCTAAACCCCTGAAACCCTCTTTGAGTCTGACATCGACTCTACTCAAACACTATATACCCTATAAACCCTACGATGGCACCCTTTGATTTAACTAAGCTAGGTGACCAGCTGGTGGAGGGCTGATTCCACAGCTTTATCATCCTCGAGTCGTGAACTCTGCGATAAGCGTTGGCTGATGATTCGATCTGATTAGATGCTGCAGGGTTTGGGCGTGGATGCGCACACGCGGTTTCAATTGTTGTGTGCGGGGGAAGCGCAAACTTTTGTAGCACCTCAGTTGTGGAGGTTGACATTGTGTTCCGCTGTCATGTGAACTATTTCAAGTTGCCAGTAAAAGCTGTGATTCGATGCGCGGGGCAGTGTCGGACTCTGCTGAATTTTGGTGCCAGCCTCAACCCAACATCGAAGAAGGATGCTTGATCCAAGCCGTCTGCTCTGCTTTGTGTCAAAAGGGCATTTGCAGTCACCTCGCACTGAAGTCATGTCCGTTTGGGTTGCAGCCTGTGGACGCATGTGCCTTCGCACAAATCATGCTGTCTCCAACCTGCGCGCAGGCCTTCCTGGGCTTCCTTCTGGCGCTGCACTACATGCCAGCTGGCCAGCTCTTGCTAGCACGACGTGGCTTCTTTCTGGAATGATCTACCTGGCTCGCTTACTGCGCAGCTGCGTTGCATGCCCGCTGCTAGAACTGTAGTTGGTGTTTGGTATCCTTGAACGGCGCACCTGGCTTCAGCGCATCCTCGTAACTGTGCTGTGCTCGTGCATGATTATCAAGCGCTGGGCTGTGTGCCTTGGTAGTTGGTCTGTTTTGTGTCCCAAGCGGTCTGCCTAGATGACCCCAAGCGAAATAGACCTGGTGCTGCTACGGCTGTGTGTGCTGGGTGCCCCAAAGGATGCTAAGCTGCACGCATGGGGGAGTATTTGTGGGCTACAACTTCGTTTGGATCGTCGCTCGAGTGGTCGCTTCTACCTTCCAAGATTTATAGCGGCAAGACTAGGTTTGCACTTCGAAGTGGGGCTCCTTTAGATTTGTGTTTGTCCTGTGGGACCCCTATATACACCGTACACAACCCTAAAAACCCTAAACCCTATTCTCCTCCAGACCTCATAAACCCTTATCAGCCCTCAACTCTTCTTTGAGCCCTTTACAGACCCAGTAGCTCGGCACAAACCCTGTAGACTATCTGCTGCCTTGCGCACATTCCCTCTCAAACTTTGGCCTGTTTTAAAAGGATCCGAACGACCCTCGTGAGCCCGGGTTGAAACAGGGTGGACATGGTTCAGGGCGTGTACAGCTTATAAGGTTTAAGAGAGTTGAGGGTGTATAGGGTTCAGGGTTCAAGGTTTATAGGGATCACAGTTCCGGGCCGATTTAGGGCTTCTAGGTCCCACACCTGTTCAAGTTCGTGGGGCTCAGGGTTCACGATTTTCGTTGCATAGGCTGTTTCGGGCGTTATAAGGTTTCGGGTTCAGGGTGTATATAGGGCCTCTATGGGCAGCGTTCCACCGTTCGACTTCATGGGTTCGGGATTCGATCTGGCTTGGACTCAGACAAGTACTTTTTTATAAACCCTAATTAAAACTTATAAACCCTAAACTCCTATAAACCCTACAGCTACGCTGTCTTTGCACTGCCAAGCTTCACACACGTCCACCATGAGGTGTCTCTCCTATGTAGAACCCGTACCTACATTGCACCTTAAACAGAGCCCGGTGCACTGCCTCCAATATCCGGGGCGAGCTGCTGTGAAGCGGTGTCGTGCTGCATAGTCCTGTGATCAAGCACAAATCGAACCTGTACACAACCCCTACCGCAATCAACAGTGGTAGAGTGTACTTTGTTGGGCCGGTCTTCCACCCTCAACCAGTGAGACTAATGGATGTAGACACTTCTGAAGCAAGCAAGCCCTTAGTTTATCTGCCCAGGATTTCATCCTACTGCTACGACTTGTATCGTGGCTCAGCTTCTTCAATCGAGGAAGCCAGTGGGATGTGCTGGATTACTTCGCCGGGGTGGGGAAGATCACGAAGTGGGCCCAAAGGTTGGGCCTGAAAAGTGCAGCATATGATATCGACTACCACACCCCGCAGCCCGGTTGTAGTAAACACAGCAGTCGGACACGGCGCTCTGGCATGGACATCAACTCTGAAGCAGGTTTCGCGCTACTAGCTCTGCACTGACCCTTCCCCAACCCGAACAGAAGAACATTGCTTAAAATGAGAAGGGAGGCGCAAGGCCACGTGCGACCCCACAAGCTATTAATCTGTTTAAGGTTTATATATACTTAAGGGTTTGTAGGGAGTTAGACTAAGCCTTCATACGTTTATAAAGGTTCTCACCTCGGGGTTCTCTATTCGGAGGCCGGGTTCTCCAGGCCTTTTTAGGGTTCTCAATTTGGGGCTCTCTCCTCGACCTCAAGACCTTTTTAGGGTTCTCACCTCGGTGTTTTCTCCTCGGAAGCCGGGGTTCTCTCCTCAAGGCCGTTTTAGGGTTTTAATTTGGGGTTTTGCCCTCAAGGCCTTTTTAGGGCTCACCTCGGGGTTCTCTCCTCGGAGGCCGGGGTTCTCTCCTCCAGGCCTTTTTAGGGCTCACCTCGAAATTCTCTCCTCAGAGGCCGGGGTTCTCTCCTCAAGGTTTTTTTGAGGTTCTCACCTCGGGGTTTTGTCCTCGAAACCGGGGTTCTCTCCTCAAGCGGGGTTCTCTGCTCGGTGGCTGGGGTTCTCTCCTCAAGGCCTTTTGAGGGCTTATCTTGGGGTTCTCTCCTCGGAGGTTGGGGTTCTCTCCTCAAGCCTTTTTAGGGCTCACCTCGGGGTTCTCTCCTCGGAGGCCGGGGTTCTCTCCTCAGGCTTTTTTGAGGTTCTCTGGGGTTGTCTCCTCAAGGCCTTTTGAGGGCTTATCTCGGGGTTCTCTCCTCGGAGGCCGGGGTTCTCTCCTCAAGCCTGTTTAGGGCTCACCTCGGGGTTCTCTCCTCGGAGGCCGGGGTTCTCTCCTCAGGCTTTTTTGAAGTTCTCTGGGGTTCTCTCCTCAAGGCCTTTTGAGGGCTTATCT